TGAAGAGGACTTAAAACATTTACTGTTGAAGATCAAAGAGCACAGCCTTCTATATGGATTTCATCTCAATGTAAAGAAAACAAAAATCTTCATCATTGGACCAATAAACAACATTCTTATCAACAAAGAAAAGATTGAAGTAGTCAAGTACTTCATTCTTCTTGAATCAACTATCAACACTCTTGGAAGCAGCAGTCAAGAGATCAAATGACGTATTGAATTAGTCAAATCTGCTGTAGAAGACCTTTTAAAAATGTTGAAGAGCAAAGAAGTCAGCTTGAGGACTGAGGTGCACCTGACCCAAGTCATGGTGTTTTCAATAACCTCATATGCATGCGAAAGCTGGACAGTGAATAAGGAAGATCATAGAAGAATTGATGTATTTGACTTATGGTGTTGGAGGAGAATACTGAAAGTGCCATGGGCTGCCAAAAGAACCAATAGATCCGTTTTGGAAGAAGTACAGTCAAAGTGCTCCTTAGAGGCCTAGATGACCAAAGTTCATCTATCATACTTTGGATATATTGTCAGGAGGGACCAGTCACTGGAGAAAGATATCATGTTTGGTAAGGTGGAGGGTCAGAGAAAAAGAGGGAGACCCCCAATGAGAATGATTGGCCAAGTGGCAGCATCGATGGACTCAAGCATGGCAACAGTAGTGAGGTTGGCTCAGAATCCAGCAGTGTTTCGTTCTACTGTACATAAGGTCACTATGGGTCGGAACAGACTCAATGGCACCTAACAATAAAAATCATCATATTGCCCAACATATTTCAGTCTATCACAATTCCTTGGGCAATACTAAGTTTGAGAGGCAAAAGTAATATCTCTGATAGTATGGTACTGTTGTCAAGTGTCTATGAGTGGTTTTGACTCATAGCAACCCTGTACAGGGTTTCCAAAGAGTGCCTGGTTGGTTTACACGGCCAAAATTGTGGTTAGCAGTCCAGTGCTTATCCTACGCTTTACACAAGGATTCCCTATAATAGCATATTATGCTCTAATTAGTTTCCAAATGTCTTAACAGCTTTATTGGCAAGCTATTATAGTTAGTTATACACAGCCATTATGTAATTCTTTATGTTTTCCCAGAAATAAAAAAGAAGACAGTGTTCTCCAAGAATCCTCAAAGGATGTTTTCTGTCAATGGCACTGCTTCATATCCCTCCACCTTTCTTCTGCTTGGTGTCCCAGGTCTGGAAGATTTCCACATTTGGATTGCATTCCCCTTCTTTGTTGTTTATCTCATAGCACTTGTGGGTAATGTCACAATCATGTTTGTTATCAAGATTGAGCAGAGTCTCCATCAACCCATGTTCTACTTTCTGGCTCTTCTCTCTTTTATTGATCTAGGACTCTCTACTTCTACCATCCCCAAGATGCTGGCCATCTTCTGGTTCAATCATAGAGAGATAAGCTTTGAAGGCTGCCTCATCCAAATGTTCTTCATCCACACCTATACTGGTATGGAATCTGTTGTACTTCTGGCCATGGCCATTGATCGTTTTGTTGCCATCTGCTACCCACTCAGATACACAACTATTCTCACCAACAAAGTGGTAGCCATCATGGCTTCTGTTATAGTGGGGAGGCCAGTCTTCCTCGTCATCCCCTTCTGTCCCCTTCTCAAACGATTGCCCTTCTGTGGACACTACATTATCCCTCATACGTACTGTGAACACATGGGAATCGCTCGACTCGCCTGTGCTAGCATAAGAATTAACATCATCTATGGCTTATTTACCATTGCTGCATTGATCTTTGACTTAATCCTTATTGCTGTCTCTTATGTTCAGATTCTCCGTGCTGTTTTTCGCCTTCCTTCAAGGGATGCCAGACTCAAAGCACTTAGTACATGTGGTTCACATGTATGTGTCATCTTGGCTTTTTATACACCAGCATTTTTCTCCTTCATGACTCATCGCTTTGGTAAAAATGTTCCTCGCTACATTCATATCCTCCTAGCCAATCTGTATGTGGTTGTTCCTCCTTGTTTAAATCCAGTTATTTATGGGGTTAGGACAAAGCAAATTCGGGACCAGGTTGTGAGAATATTTGTAAAGAAAGAGTGACTTAAATGTATTCAAATGTTGATAAATTCTTCCATATTATCCTTTAGCATGTACAGATCCCAGGATGGTCAAAATTGAGCCTAGAGAATAATCCTTCAGGCAATTCTTCACTATTCTTGTTGTTGGTAAGTGCCATCAAGTCAGTTCCAACGCATAGCAACACTATATAGGGTTTCCAAGGAGTGACTGGTGAGCCTGAACCACCAACCTATTGGTTCAAAGTGACTTTGCAGTGTAGTGCATTAGTCACAGTGCCACACTGTTCTTGTTGTTGATGTTAAGTACAGTTGAGTCGAATGCAACCCATAGCGACCCTGTATAGGGTTTCCAAGGAGCAGCTGGTGAGCTTGAACTGCTGAATTTGCAGTTCAAACGGCTTTGAACACATGAGTCCACAGCACCACACCAGGACACTATTCTTAAGGCTTCCTAAATTCATACTCAATGTTTTGTGTTTGTAATTTCCAATATATTATTGAAGTTGTTTTCCTCCATGAGAGTTAGATAAGATAGTGGGGACTATATCACTAGTTATAAAAAAAAAAAAAAATCATGTGTGGATATGATAAAAAGGCAAGTTATAGTGCCAACTCATGGTGGCATAATGGTTAAGTGCTTGGTTGCTAGCCAACATGTCAGTGATTCAAATGCCAACAGGGGAAATATATGGATAGTTCTACTCTGCCTTACTGAAACAGAATTGACTTGATGGAATTTTGCAGACTGGCTTTGACCCATACATCACTATTTTGGAAGCCATCCTTCAACTAATTATTATTATTGTTGCTAGGAGCTGTCAAGTGGATTCTGAGTCATAGGGACCCTATGCATGACAGAACTAAACACTACACAGTTGTATGCCATCTTCACAGTTGTAATATTTGAACCCACTGTTGCTTCCACTGTGTCAAGTCATCTCATTGGAGGTCTTCCTCTTTTTCAACTAATTGATAGTCTACCATTATTAATTTTCTCTAAGTCATAATTTATCATTTCAACCAGAAGATAATCACAATACACATACTATTTGTAACTGAATTCTGACTCTGCAATGAAAGACTGTATAATGCAGTTGATATGAGAAGGAAAGAATCCATGCAGTTAGACATAGGAATGGATGGAAAGAAATCAGGAAGAAAAATAATCAACAAAACAGTAGAGTGCCCAGAATATATTTTGGCAAAAAAAAAATGTCAGAGAAAGAGGTAATTTGATCTTTGAGCACTAAGACTATTTAGGGGTTTCTCAAGTCATCAGTAATGAGTACCCTCACTTGTTCTTTTGATTTTATTCTTTTATTCTAACATGTACTTCTTCCTTTTCTGTTTCCATCTATGTTGTCTTCCTCTCTTGAAGTCTGTTTTTAAACAAACATAAATATTAACTGGTGAGTTGGGTGAGTAGGAGAACTATACTTAGAAGTCCCTTTGAATCCCATATGTTTGAAATACCCAGTTTAGGCTCTGAGGAAATGAAGCTAGAGTTGTTACATCTTTCTCTAGCTCTCAAGTCATTCTGTCCAGTGAAGCAGGTAAAAAGGACACTAACTATGGGTCAACATTCCATACAAATGTAATGAGAATGTTCCTGAGTAGATCATCCACAGCAATATGACTCTTGGAAAGCTGCACTTAAAATTTGGGGCATAAAGATATAAAAGGATACCATTTCAGCCAATATAAGAAATGTTCTTTATTCTGTGGTTATTTGGGATATCTATGCAAATATCCCTAATTTTTTTTTATTTTTTATTATCTTTAACAAAAGGATCTATGGTGGTCCTGTGAGTTATGCATTTGGATGCTAAACATAAGATTGGCAGTTCTAATCCACCAGCCTCTTCATGGGAGAAAGATGGGACCATCTACTCCTGTAGAGATTTGCAGCCTCAGAACCCTCCACAGAGTTTCTGTAAATCAGAATTGACTCAGTGGCAGTGGGTTAAACAGAAGATAAGCAAAATATTATAAATTAAAAGTGAACAAGTAGACAAAATTTCCTGAATTTATACATAATACTTTACAGTTATTTGAATTATTTCCACTTCAGTTTTCAAATTAGAAATAAGCAGTATAAGGAAATTTGGGGAATTTACAAATGTGTGGAAATTAATCAATGCGTTGTCAGATAACAAGTTAATGAAAGAAGAATTCACAAGGAAATTAGAAAGTATAGTGAATGAGCTTTAAAATAAAACATGCCAAAAAATATATTATCCAGCAAAAGCAGTTCTAAGAAGATAATTTATACTTCTAAATGTCTATATTAAAGTATAAGAAAAATCTCAGATAATAGCTTAGCTTTCTTCTTACTGCAGAAATTATGCATAGAAGAGTAGATTAAACCCACAGATAATTGAAGGAAGGAAATAATAAAAAATAAATGTATATATAAATGAAATACAAACAGAATAATGTTAGAGAAAAAAATTGAATATTAGTTTTATGAAAAACAACAACAACAAAAACAATTGAGAAGCTTTCATATTTAGACTGACCAAAGAAAAAGAGAGTCAAATTATGAATGAGTGGAAAAAAAGAGGGGACATTATTAAAGACCTTAAAGAAATAAAGGTATAAGATTACAACCTACTACTGTGAGTTCTAACTAAACACTATGGTGTGTTGCTGTAGGATAAGTACTGGACTACCAACCACAAGGTCGGCAGTTCAAACCCACCAGTTGCTCCTCAGAAACCCTATAGAGGGTCACTATGTGTCTGAACCAACTTAATGGCATTTAACAGCAACCTGAATAATTGTACACCAATTAATGAGAGAACATAGATGAAATGGATGCATATCTAGAATGTCACAAATTACTAAAATAATCAAAGAAAAAACTTGAATGGAAATATTCTTTACATGATCATCTTAGTTTTTTATGAAGACTAAAGAAAGTGCTTGACATTAAAGAAGAAATGTGTACTTAGACTGTCATGTGCAAGTTTAGAAGAGCTGCTGAAAAAATAATAAAAGAAATTAAGGAACAAATGAAATAGTTCCAGGTAGCTTATTCCAGGGGACAAAAACAGACATCAAGTTCAAACATTTTTTTAAAGTTTTTATAGAGACTCCTTCATGAAGTTTTGGACAAAACAAAGACAAATCATCCAGGTGAGGAGAACATCAGCATTAGACTTTAATGGTATACAAAGGATTAATGGCCATCTTACTAATTATATTGTTGTTGTGTTAAGTGTGGTTGAGTTGATTCCTACTCATAGGAACCTTGTATAAGGTTTTCAAGAAGCAGTTGGTGATTTTGAACAGTCAACCTTGCGGTTTGAAGTCCAGTGCTGATCCTATAGCACTACATCAGAATTCCTTGCTAATTACAGGGTATGGAAAACAAAGGAAATTTATTACAAAATTGTGATTGGCAGCAAATCTGTTCATCACTGTTGAAAGCAAGACTATAGAAATGGGAAAAGGACTCTGTTTGGGAAATGTGCATTATTGAAGATTAGGGAAGCTAACATAATTGGTTCTGGGGCCATTTGAATTCCTTGGGTGGGACATGATTGATGACCCTGTAGGCCTGATACCCCATTTTCCAATAAGGATATGCATACACAAATCTTTGAGGGTAAGAAGGCACATCCTAGGCCAGGTAAGTAGACTCTTGCTGTAGTGTTGTTTTTAAGTGCAGTTAAGTCGGTTCTGACCTATAGCAAGCCTGTATAGAGTTTATAAGGAACAGCTGGTGAGTTTGAACTGCCAAGCTTGCAGTTCAAATGACTTTGCAGTTCAGGGCATTAACTCACAGCACCACGCTAGGACTGCAGACTCTTAGTAACCCACATTCAAACACACTCAATCTTAAGACAAACTTTTTACAGGTTGGCTAACACAACTTAAAGGAGTTTGAATTTATGTCAGTAACAAAATAGATTTAGGGTTTTCACTGAAAACCATGGCCTTCTAAAAATCAAATGCTCAGAATTTAAGTTTGAAACATTTTATCAACCAACTAAGATGCCCACAACTGTACTTTTTTTTTTTTTTTTTTCTAACTATAGCTTAAAACAAAAGCTGGCTGAGGTTACAGGGCTGAAATCTGACAGAGGTGAATGTAGGGAAGGTCAAGTGAGTGGGAATTAAATGAAGTGATATGAGATGGGATCCAATAGACAGCTGAAGTTATGCTGATATGGAGTAAATAATATGGAAGGAAAAAATGAGGCTGGGGCTGAAGAAATTGAGCCTGAGGCATGTGTGAGAGGGGAAGACCCTGAGCGAACTGCAAAAATGTAAGGCTATGTGTCTGACAGGGATAGAGTTGAATAATTCAATGCTAATAGTATCCAGATTCCAGATATGGGGAAAATAGTAGAAGTTAGTGGACGTGAACAGGAAGAAAAGTTGAAATCAATTAGAAATTTAAAGCAAGACAAATTTTGACAAAGGGTAGTATTTTTTATTTCAGTTTACTTTAAATGTTTCTATATAGTATAGTTTTATGCGAAAATAATGCAATTTGGAAATTATTTCAAATTGAAACAACTATTTTCAATCTTTCTATGCAATCAAGATGCCTTACACTAGAACTTCATGATGAAAGGTGAGCACAGGGTAAAATTTAAATTCTTTATATTATAAATCAAAGTTTTACTAGAATTAACAAATTGTGAGAGAAAGAACAGGCCTTCTGCTGCTGCAAAGATTTACAGCCTTGAAAACTCTATTCAGGGTCACTGTGAGTCAGAATAGACTCAACGGCCCTAACAGCAACAATAACAACTAAGAAATGGAAGCAAAATAAATAAGTATGCATACATGGGCAGACTTCTAACAGATACTTTCAAAAGGCAGGATAAAAAGACAAACTCAAAAAAAAAAAAAAAAAATCACAAAACAAACAAACAAACAAAAAAACACCCACATGTCGTAGCCTATAAAGTAAGCAAATTAAGCAGTGTGAAACATGGAGTCAAAATTTAAATAAATGACTTGTACAGTGGAAATTCTAAATTTTCCTTTTTTTAAGTTTTTTTTTATTTCCAGCAGATTTGCAACAGGTTGCATTGGCAGTAAAATATGAATAATATATTCCATCTTTTTTAACCACAGAACCAGGAGACAGAATCCTATCAGTCAGAACCCAAGAGAGGGATTCCCTACCTGTTCTATGTCTTATTCAATAAGTCCCAGTGTCTTAAGTACTTAGTTCTGATGGAACAAAAATGTCACAAGTGGGTAGTTTTAAAAGACATTTATTTCCTCGTGGTTCTGAAGATAAAAGTACAAATAAGCTTTTGGTCATGTTAAATCCTTTCTTGAAGGCAGTTTCTTTGTTCCTTGCTTCCTTATCCATAAGGTTACGGCCACATTCTTCCCCCACATTCTTTCCACCTCACACACACTTGTGTGTCTACATGTTTGTGTCTATGCTGCTGTTTATAGAATTTAGAAGTGATTATGTTTAGTTGAGCTCTGGTAGCGTAGTGGTTACGAATCGGGCTGCGAACCTTAAGGTCAGCGGTTCGAAACTACCAGTCACTCCGCGGGAGAAAGATGAGGCTTTCTACTCCCGTAAAGATTTACACCCTCGGAAACCCTGTACAGGGTCGCTATGGGTCGGACCCGACTCGATGGCACTTAACAACAACAACAAATGTTTAGTTGAGACCACTGGTATTACCTCAACTGACTGATTATTTCAGTTCAACAGTAATCATTTCAGTGAGAAACCAGACATACTAGAAGTGAAGCAGAGCTACTGTAATTGTAATTTTAGAGTTCAACGTAGCAGAATCTTTTTTTAAAATATGCATAATTCTTGAAAATTAATATCAATTATAACATTGTCTGGTAATTTTTTCCATGTAATATGTAAGACAACTACATAAAGGGCAGATACAAAAGGCCCTGCAATTGTAAGGTAAAATGTTCACTTTCAGTAGACTGTGAGAAAAGTTAGCCTTGTATATTGAATTCTCAACCAAGAGAAATATTGCCCACCCACTCCTCTATCCTAAGAATATTTGATTTGGGATTATTGTTGGTATCTAGCAAAAACAATTAATAATAATAATAATAAACCCAGAGATGCACTATGGTGTACAATGCAGATCCCACAACTAAGTACTATCTGTGGCCAAAAACAGCAAAAGTGACAATATTTAGCAATCATTAAAACAATTTAAAAGAGACATAGGCAAAAGCTAATAGATAATGAAGATAAGTAGTAAATCAGTCAAATCTAAAATTAGGCAGTGGAGGGGGGACAAATAAGGCAATAAATAAACAAACAAATTAAAAAAATATGAGACATAGAATATTTTTAAATTGATGAAATAAATCCAATCTTTATGTGGAAAAGGGTCTGAACACACCAATATAGCTATATGTTGTCTACAAAAACATACTTTAAATGCAAACACATAAATAGGTTAAATGTAAAAGAACAGAAAAAATATATCCTGTCTGAAGTGGTTATATTACTATAAGAAAACATATTTTATAACAAGGAACATTGACAAGGATAAAGACATATATTATTAAAAATTAAAATTAAAATTCACCAAAAAGACATAGCAAGACTAATCGCATATGCACCTAACACAAAAACTTTAAAATGCATGAAACAAAAACTGATAGCATTGAAATGAGATAAAGCTAAGACTGTAAGACTATTCTCTTTGTGTTTAATAGAACAAGTGAAGAAAAAAATCAGACTTCCAAATCTGTGGGATGCAGTCAGATCATTGACTAGAGAGAAATGTTGTTGCTAGATGCCGTTGAATCAATTCTGACGAACAGTTCCCTATGTGCAATAGAAGTAAACACTGCCCAGTTCTGCACCATCTTCACAATTGTTGCTATATTTGAGTCCAATGTTGCAGCTAGTATGTCAATCCATCTTGTGAAGGGCTTTAGTTCCTCTTTTTGTCTGATGCTTTACGTTCTCAAGTATAATGTCCTGTTTCCAGGGACTGATGTCTCCTGATGACATGTCCAAAGTGTTACACAAAGTATCACTGCTATTTATAAGGTTTAATGACTGATCCCTCAAAACTGGACTGCCTATTTCTTCTTTCTGGTTTATTTCAGTCCAGAATCCCTGCTGAAACCTGTCTGCCATGGTTAACCCTGCCAGTATTTTAAGTATCATCGACATAGTTTCCAACATCACAGGAAAATGCTAGCCACCACAGTATTACAAATAGGAAGCTAAGTAGTGAGAGAGAAATAGAGAGCATTAAATACTGCTAGGAAAGGCTCATCCTAATAAGTGTACATTATTTTTCATTACTATGTTTCCTTACTTAGTTTTAAACTCCAACAAAGAAAATATTTTTGCTTTGTTCATGATACAATACACGATCAATAAAGAGGTATTGAATGAATTAATAGGTGTATAAATGTAAATTAATGTCATAATTTTGCCTTAATTATTTACTCTACTTCAGGAGAGGCAATTTCAGATTATTCGAAATTTTCCAAAAGTTGAAAACATACCCAATGTCTATACTGGCTGTGCAAATGATTTCTTTTAGAATCCATATTCATTTTCACAAGGGAATCCTCAAATTTTACTCTCCTAATCAGTTGCAAAGTAAATTTTTGACTTGTCAAAAATTTTTATTCTCTAAATATTTTGACCATCCCAAAAGCTTTCCATTCTGGTTCTGATGAAGGTAGAAATGCATCATAGAATTACTCATTATGCCAGGCTTGTGTGCTTCCAAATCCTCCATTAAAATGAAAAGCAATACTCAAAAGAGTATTCTTATTTGGCAAACGCTTGTAATGCAAAATAATACATGTATTTTATGAAGGTACCAAATAAAGACATGTACAGAGAAGAAATGAGACTAAACCAATCTCATCTTAATGAAGTGCTTGAATGTGCTCAAAACAAATAGACGCTATTATATCCATTCTAAGGATAGTCATATAATTTAAATACATTGTATGTAATTTTAATTCTAATTCCTGTTTTTTTCTGATTCTATAATCTAGGAAACATCATGGGAGGCAGGAAATGTAGGGCTCAGCAACCTCAACTGATTTTGTTGTTAAGTGCCATCAAGTCAATTCTAACTCATAGTGACCCTGTTTAAAATTTCTGAGGAGTAGATGTGAGTTTGAACTGGCTGCAGTTTAAACCAATCTTATGCACCGGTGTTTATCCTACAGCACCACACTAGAATTTTAGTTGTGAATAATTGCATAACACATTCTCGAATCTGTTTGGTCCTTACTCCGTAGATGATAGGATTCAGCATAGGAGGTACTAACAAGTACATGTTGGCCAGCAAAATGTGAGTGTGGAGGGCGATATGGCTACTAAACCGGTGGGTGAGGAATGAGAAAAGAGCAGGAATGTAGAAGGTGAGGATGACACAAACATGGGATCCACAAGTGCTGAGGGTCTTTAACCTGGCTTGTTTAGAAGGGAGACTGAATACAGTGTGGAGTATCTGTACATAGGACAGACTGATGCAAGTAACATCAGTCCCAACAATCAAGATAATAACTGCCAGACTATAAAGACTGTTGATGGAAATGTCAGCACAAGCTAATTTCACCACAGCCATATGCTCACAATATGTGTGTGGAATCACATTGGTCTGGCAATACGGCCACCTCCTTACTAGAAATGGATGTGGTGTCATTAGCACTAACCCCCGTAGAAGTACTACTATACCAATCTGGGCTACCACAGCTTTAGTGAGGATAGATGAATGCCTCAAAGGATTGCAAATTGCCACATATCGGTCCAGTGCCATTGCTGAGAGAAGACCTGATTCCACCCCAGAGAAAGCATGGATGAAAAACATCTGAGTAAGGCAGGCATGGAAGTTGATCTCATGATAATTGAACCAGAAGATACCCAGCATCTTGGGAAGGGTAGAGGTTGACAAGATGAGATCTGTGGTAGCCAACATGGAAAGAAAGTAGAACATGGGTTCATGGAGAATAGTCTCTATTTTGATGATGAAAAGGATGACCGTGTTTCCAATGAGGGCAACAACATACATGGAGCAGAAAGGGATGGATATCCAAATGTGAAAATCTTCTAGACCAGGAATGCCCATCAGGATGAAAGTATTGGGATTGGTGAATGTAGTGGAATTAAAGTTAAGCATGGTAATTCTGTCTACATGCAGTTTTATTTTTTTCATTCATCTTTGAGATAGGTCAGAATACAGTTATAAATCTGCAATAGAATTGCTCAGCATAAAAATATTACCCAAAATATTTAGTCCCCATTCACGAGCTTCTCAAATTAATCTAACTTAAGACTGGTTGAAGAGGAGTAAATGGTCTCTGCTTTAGGCTCAAAATTTCTGGAGTACCCTGTCTGAAACTAGGATATCTCATCCTACCCCTGATAAACAGGATGGGAAACGTTCCTAATAACATTGGTTCTTCACATCCTCACAAGGCATCAGGAAACGTCTATAATGTTGTCTTAACACAATGGTATCTCAGAAGATCATTTATGGTCATCTAGACTTACTGCATAGATAAAACCTCAATAGATATTTCTTGAAACAGTACATGAAGGAATTATGTTGTCTAGATGCATATGCTTTTTTAATAGCCATACTTTTAGAACTGTGATTCCTGATAAATTTTCACGTATTAGAATTATAGTACCTAACCACTTAAATACATAAAACTCAGGTTTAATAGTGTATATGCATATATATGGGAATCCTGGTGTGACGCTGTGGGTTAATGCGCCAGACTGCAAAGTCGTTTGAATGACAAGGTCGGTGGTTCAAGCTCACCAGTTGCTCCTTGGAAACCCTATATAGGGTTGCTATGGGTCAGAACTGACTCGACGGTACTTAACAACAACAACAACAAATATATATATATATATGACTGGATGGCACCTGACAACAACAACAACAACACAAATATGCTTAAATTTCCATATGTCTCGAATTGATAATATGCATATCCGAATCAGATATTATCATTTATTCTTTTTAGAATGTCAAGAAGTTTATAAAATATCATCATCAGCACTGATGATTATATTCATGTATATAAATATATATATATATATGTATTCATGTATATAAATAAAATACACTCATGTGCATTCATATTTTTTCAAAAGTTCTAACCATTTAATCATTACTTTTATCTACTACACACAAGAATTTAAATTACACTTTATGAAGGAAAGTGCTGCAGGATAATGCACTGGACTGCAAAGTCGGTTTGAACTTCAAGGTCAATGGTTCAAACTCACCAGCTGCTACTCGGAAACCCTTTACAAGGTCGCTATGAGTCAGAACTGACTCAAAAGCACTTAAAAACAACAACAACAACAAATCAATCAGTCAGTCAATCAAAAATATTTCTAAATAGTAGCAGTAGTTACTAATATCCACCAGAAAAGAAAAAAACAAAATGCTGAACATCATCAGCAAGTGCTCAATTGCTGATTAATATATAGTCTGAGAAGGTCACTGATATTATTTTTAGGTTACACAAGGAGAAACTTATTCTTTACATAGACTAAAAATTTACTCAAAGTTGCACAACTAGAATGTGTCAGAAGAGACTACAAACACTTGTTTTCTCTGAAACTCCAGCCTTGTTCCACTACAATGTACAATCCAAATAAAATGAGGTGTTATGACAGAGGCTTTTCACATATTGTAGGCTCTCACAAGAGCATTCAAAGGCAATAAGGAGAGGTGCTATTTATATTCTGTTTTATAAATTAGGTTTTATGAATTAATTCTGATGCCTTATAGCAAACTCATAAAAATGATCTGTAACTCTCTCTGTTTCAACACTTAGTTGATGTTGACATATTCATTTTCAATTTAGTGTCAATAATGTGACTACTCAGATCATAGGCATGCACATGTTTTCTTCTTTCAATGATGGTACTAGCTGTCTGCAAAACTAAAAATCTCAAGGGTGGGTGAGTAAAACATCAGTATAGGCAGACATAACCTCACAAGTGGCTGGTGACATGCACTGGGTTAAGTGCCGCTGAGTCGGTTTCAAATTAATGTAACCCTGTATATGGTTTCCGAAGAGTAGTTGGTGGGTGTGAACTGCCAACCTGTGATTAGCAGTTTAGTGCTTATCCTATAGCACTGAACTCCTAAGTAGTGGGAGTACACTGTTTTCATTGGTCGAACATAATGCAGCCAAGAAGTCCTAAACATACCTTCAGAAGGACCCCAATGTTTGCCTTTGCTGCATGTTGTCAGTCTATTTTCAGCACAGGTAAGTATCAGGAATTCATAGTAATTCTGGGTAGCTATATCTTGGCCTTAACAAACTCCTCTTCACATTCAAGTGCTATAGTCCCCTCATCATTACCTCCTTCACTTCTTAGATTTGGACACATATAGATGTGCTGTTCATTCTTCTATGTTAATTGTATTGTGCTGAGTCAAAGCCAGGAATTCACAGATTTTAAACACTTTTCATATGGAAAATTCATAGGGTTTATAGTCTCACTTGGGACAGCTCCAGAGGCTCACACTTGCCACTGTCATTTCTTTGCCTCTGGGAAATACGAGTGAAACCTGAGGGAATAAGTATTTCTACATCACATGTTGTTAGTTTTGTTTGGGAGAAATTGAAGGCACTTTTAAAAGTAAAATTTTATTTTTCCAAATTCCATGCCTCTAACCAAGAAACAAATTAACTAACATAAAGTGTGTAGTCAGGTCTGAGACTTAACCGATGGAACAACATAATAAAGAAGTAGGAAATTGAATCCCTGTCATACTATCAGATTTAACATGCATAATAAACACATTGGAAATATGATTTAACATGCATGATAAGCACATTGCTGAGCAAATAATACAAGAAGCTGGGTTCTATGAAGAAAAATGTGACGTCAGGATTGGAGTAAGACTCATTAACAACCTGCAATATATACATGATACAACCTTGAAAGTGAAGAGGACTTGAAATATTTACTGATGAAGATCAAAGAACACAGCCTTCAGTATGGATTGCATCTCAATGTCAAGAAAACAAAAATCCTCACCACTGGACCAATAAACAACATTCTTATCAATGGAGAAAAGATTGAAGTTGTCAAGGACTTCATTCTTCTTGGATCAACTATCAACACTCATGGAAGCAGCAGTCAAGAGATCAGACGACGTATTACATTGGGCAAATCTGCTGCACAGGAACTTTTTAAAGTGTTGAAGAGCAAAGATGTCAGCTTGAGGACTAAGGTGCTCCTGACCCAAGCCATGGTATTTTCAATAATCTCATACGAATGCGAGAGCTGGACAGTGAATAAGGAAGATCGTAGAAGAATTGATGCCTTCGAATTATGGTATTGGAGGAGAATACTAAAAGTGCCATGGGCTGCCAAAAGAACCAATAGATCTGTTTTGGAAGAAGTGCAGCCAGAGTGCTCCTTGGAGGCCAAGATGGCTAAACTTCTTCTCTCATAATTTGGACATATTGTCAGGAGGGAACAGTCTCTGGAGAAGGATATCATGCTGGGTAAGATGGAGGGTCAGAGAAAGAGAGGAAGACCCCCAATGAGATGGATGAGCCAGGTGGCATCATTGATGGCGTCAAGTGTGGCAGCGGTAGTGAGGTTGGCCCAGGATTGGACATTGTTTCATTCTGCTGTGCATGGGGTCGCTACGAGTCAGTTCTGACTCGATGGCACCTGACAACAACAACAACAACAACACAAATATGCTTAAATTTCCATATGTCTCGAATTGATAATATGCATATCAGAATCAGATATTATCATTTATTCTTTTTAGAATATCAAGAAGTTTATAAAACATCATCATCAGCACTGATGATTCAGTAAAAATTATATCATCATGTAAAATAATTCCTCTATTGTTTTTATTGTTGTTACTCGATGTCATAATGTTGGGTCCGAGTTAGAGTAACCCTGTGCACTACAGAATGAAACATCATGTGGTCTTGCACCATACTCACAATCACGGATGGACTCAGCCCATTGTTGCAATCCTTGTGTCAGTTCATCTTATTGAGAGGTTTTTCTTTTTTGATGACCTTCCACTTTACCAAGCATGATATCCTTCTCCAGTGATTACTTCCTCCTGATAATGTGTTCAAAGTATTAAGAGAGTGTATCACCACCACCCTTGCTTTTGTGGAACATTCTGGCTTCCAAGACAAAATTGTTCCTTCTTTGGCAGTCTATAGTATATTCAATATTCTTTAACGACACTATAATCCAAAGGCATTAGTAATTCTTGGGTCTTCCATAATCATTGTCATGTCTATGAGGCGATTGAAAATACCTTGGCTTGAGTTGTTTTGTTGTTGTTAAGTGCTGTTGAGTCGGTTCCCACTTTTAGGAGTGGCTGGTGGGTTGAATCACCACCTGAGGGTTCAAATTGACCTTACTGTCTGTCCAGTGCTTATCATGAAAGTGCTTGTCACTTTTGCCAAGTAATGCTGTATTATCTGAATATTGCAGGCTGTTACTGAGTCTTAGGAGTCCTGGTGCAGCAATGCGTTGGACTACAAGGTCGGTTTGAATCAGTAGGTCAGCAGTTCAAGCTCACCAGTCATTCCTCGGAACCCCTATACAGGGTTGCTATGAGTGGGAATCTACTTGACAGCACTTAACAATAACAATAACCGCATTTATACTCAAAGTGACATGTGTGCATTTAAAAACTTTAAAAAAGTTATTTTGCAGCAGATAATGCATAATTCAATGCATCATTTGATTTGTTGACTGCTTCTTCCATGGACATCGATTGTGAATTTAAGTAAAATGAAATCTTTTGTAATTTTAATATTTTCTTCATTAATCACAGTTTCTTATTGGTCCAGTTGTAAGGATTTTTTATATTTTCAATGTTGAGGTGCAACCCATACTGATGGGCTGTAGTCTTTGACCTTCATCAGTAAATACTTCAAGTCCTCTTTAGTTTCGGCAAGGAGTGTTTTGTCAAACCCATATCACAGGTTGTAAATGCATCTTTTTCCAATTCTGATGCCTAGTTCTTCTTCATATCATCTGGTTCTCAGATTCTTTACTCAGCATACAGACTGAATAAGTATAGTGAAAGGATACAATCCAGACACACACCTTTCTTGAATTTAAGCCATGCAGTATCCCTTTATTCCATTTAAA